CTGTTGGATACGCAGTCAGCTCCACGGCCAACGGGCCGGGCCCCCAGGCCTTCTCTCTCCTTCTACCCCCAGTTCTCATGGTGTGTACTCCGAACAGAACTCACATCATCCGGTTTTTAGATCCTTAACTATGTTCCTCGAATTCAAAAAAAAAAAAAAAAGCTTCTGAACACATGGAATGATGCCCAACCAACCTCGGTCATAATGACAGACATGCCCATTTACACGGTAAAAGCATCGGTCACCTATCACATCCACAAAGCCAACAAAAACAGACTTCACGATGCACGGTACTTTCTGCCTCAAAACCTCCCACGCTAGGAACGGATCAGGACGGCCTACATGCACATGTATGGGGTCTCGGGTTCAAAAGCATCACACCGCAGCACTGTCTGCTGTACACCGGAAGCACCGTAAATGTCCACACACAGAGGACCTGCTAGACACACAGCAGAGGATCCAGACCGTGGAGCCGCACAGGGTCAGGAGAAATCTCGACTCAGAGCACTCACCCTGGACCAACCCCCATTTTCACGTGTAACACATAAGGAGGTACCTGTTTCTAAAAGGAAACCTAAGAGATTAGTACTGACACGGCCACTCTCCGGAGCGGCAAAATGGGAAGATGAGAGGGCTTGGGAGAAAGGCTGATGGATCCCACCCAGTTCCCGTTCCAAAGTGAATGTTGTCCCACGCCCACGGGTTACTCTGAGTACTCATAAATGCGGAATAAAAAGTCACTTGGAGTAACTGTAGCCGGCATTCCAACACCCACCCCTAGGGTGATCCTGCCTGTCTTGATCACAGAGCAATAAACAGAGCCTCCTGGGGGCACCGCCCAGAACAGAGCACAGCTGACTGCTTCCTGGGGACCAAATCTCCTGCTGAGTCCTGTGAACACATCACACGGAACCCCAAAGGCCTCTCCTCTTTAAAAGTGCAACGAGGGCTTCCCCGGTGGCGCAGTGGTTGGGAGTCCGCCTGCCGATGCAGGGGACGCGGGTTCGTGCCCCGGTCCGGGAAGATCCCACATGCCGCAGAGCGGCTGGGCCCGTGAGCCATGGCCGCTGCGCCTGCGCGTCCGGAGCCTGTGCTCCGCAACGGGAGAGGCCGCAACAGTGAGAGGCCCGCGTACCGCAAAAAAAAAAAAAAAAAAAAAAAAAAGTGCAACAAGCTCGCCATTTTTGTCATCAGAGGAGTAATACACTTAGACTGTGCACTTAACGGATACGATGGTAAGTTTTGTTATGTGTATTTTACCACAATTAAAAATTAAAACTTTTTTTCATGGGGCCGATACAGTTCTATAACTGCTTGTATGTGTTCCACTCAACTGGACTTTGAGGGGCATCTTTCCATGTCACGAAATACTGACACCATTTTTTTTCCATAAATTTATTTTATTTATTTATTTTTGGCTGTGTTGGGTCTTTGTCGCTGCACACGGGCTTTCTCAGTCCCCTCTGCGGTGCGCGGGCTTCTCATTGCAGTGGCCTCTCCCGTTGCAAAGCACGGGCTCTAGGCGTGCAGGTTTCAGTAATCGTGGCTTGCGGGCTCTAGCATGCAGGCTCAGTAGCTGTGGTGCATGGGCTTAGTTGCTCCGCGCGGCATATGGGATTCTTCCCGGACCAGGGCTCGAACCCGTGTCCCTTGCATTGGAAGGCGGATTCTTAACCACTGTGCCACCAGGGAAGCCCACTGACACCATTTTTTAATTTTGTAGTAGCACTTGTCTTCTTTTTAAAAACTTTTATTGACGTATAGATTTATAATGTGTTCATTTCTGCTGTACAGCAGAGACTCAGTTATACACACACATATATATTTTTTTCATATTCTATTCCACTACGGTCTGTCACAGGATGCTGACTAGAGTTCCCTGCGCCCTACAGTAGGACCTTGTTGTTTACCCATTCTATATATAATAGTTTGCATCTGCTAATCCCAACCTCCCAATGCATCCCTCCTCCACCCCCCACCCGCCTTTGGCAACCCCCAGTCTGTGCTCTGTGTCTGTTTCTGTTTCGTAGATAAGTTCATTTGGCTGACACCATGTATAATGGCAGCACTCTGCAGTATGGACGGTCCCTAATTCACTTCAGTCATTTCCTTTTGCTGAATATCTAGGATCCAAGAAATGAAATTCTGAGTCCAAAATAGGCCTTCTGACACATGTTGCCAAACCGCTTACCAGAAAGTCTCATCAGCATTACATCAAATAAGCACTTGTTTCCCCACATCTCAGCACCAACGGGCATTGCTATTCCATTAGATCTCGGCCAGCTGGAGAATCAAAACCTGGTTTGTAAGTAAACTTGTCGATCCTTAGTTGAACGTCTTTTTAAACACTTGTTTCCTATGTGCATTTCTCATGTTAGAAACTGCCTATGAGCGTCTTTCATCCAACTTTCTACTGGGGTGCAAATTCCCTTCTTTACAGCTGTTGTTACTACACCAACTTTATTACACACCTGCTTTTTCTTTTTTTGGACCCTAGAATAAGATCTGACATAGACCAACATTTCATTTTTACCTTGTGAGATGCAACCGGTGAAAATATTCATGCATCCTCATTCCGTCCCCCAGGATGTGTCACTGGCTCGGTTTTATTCGCTGCTGCCTCCCCCGGGCTGGCCGACGTCACACTGACAGGTTTTACTGAATGAGCACCTCAGTGTCAGCATCCCCATGAGGCCCTCCAATGATGCCCGTCCCGGGGCAGTTCAAACCAATTCGATTCAGTAAGTCCAAGCCCTTCATTTGCCCTTGCGCGTCGGGCACTGCAATAAGGAGCCGCAAACTGGCGAGACGGTCTGCTCACCGCATCAACGAAGCCAGTGTTTTCCCAGTGGGGGGAGATGGACAGTAAGCCAACGAGCCGTCTGTGTGTTCTGGGGGCTCGGGCAGCCCCGCAAAGGAGACACTTCAGGTGGTGGTTTATAACCGCTGTCTCCCCTGTGTGGGTCAAGTGTCCCTCACCATCACCAGCGCTCCACCAAGTCTGACGGAATCCTGTGAGAACGTCACACGTCCTGCCTTAGGAGGCTTAATAAGGTGACCTCAAAGAAATTACACACCATGATGGTACCTGTCCTGTCCCCTGCTCCCCCAGAAGTCTCCAAAATGGCCATTCTGAAACTTCAGTTTTCTGATTTACAAGGAGGACAGCCTATTCCACTGAGAAATGAGGCTGCTACATTAATGTGGCAAAGGATGAAATTTCTTCCTTCTTCGTTTCTGAACCTCCTCCTTGGATGCTATTTTGGTCCCCCCAAAATAAATACATAAAAAGTCCAGAGGGATATGTCTTCAAGTCTGTACTAAAAACTGAAGGCCTTGAGTCAATTTACTTTTTAAAATATACAGCCAGGCTTCCCTGGTGGCGCAGTGGTTAAGAATCCGCCTGCCAATGCAGGGGACACGGGTTCGAGCCCTGGTCCGGGAAGATCCCACATGCCGCGGAGCAACTAAGCCTGTGCGCCACACCTACTGAGCCTGTGCTCTAGAGTCCGCGAGCCGCAACTGAAGCCTGTGTGCCACAACTACTGAAGCCCGCGCGCCTAGGGTCCGTGCTCTGCAGCAAGAGAAGCCACCACAGTGAGAAGCACATGCACTTCAACGAAGAGTAGCCCCTGCTCGCCGCAACTAGAGAAAGCCCGCACACAGCAACAAAGACCCAATGCAACCAAAAATAAACAATAAATAAATAAATAAATTTTTAAAAAGTAAAATAAAATTTACAGCCAACCTTGGAAAGACTGCACTAATTCTGCTAAAAGGGGCACGTCAACACTTTACTATGAATTAGCCAACTGTAGAACACAAGGTCGAGAATTATTTCTAGCTGAAACCAGTCACCAGCATTCCCTGGCGGTCCAGGGGTTAAGACTCAGCACTTCCACTTCAGGGGGCACAGGTTCGATTCCTGGTCCCTGGTTGGGGAACTAAGATTCCCACAAGCTGTGCAGCGTGGCCAAAAAAAAAAAAAGTCCCAAAACACCTCCATGCTGCCCCGTAGTACCGTTCTAGTGCCTGTGTGTAGAAGCATCCCGTGCCCAACTTCACTTTCTGACCCCTTCAAATCATCCCAACTCCTATCCACAATCTCCTTTCTTGGAATATGCACTTGCTCCCCTCAGACCTCAGCACAGCACTGGAAACACCTGCCAGCTGACCTGTAAGTCTATATGCATCCCATTTTAGCATAAAACCCCAAAACCTGGTAGGCTGCCACCTTGTGTAAAACACAGGCAATGACATTTCATCATCTGGAGCATAAGCAGTTTCCTCACTGCCAGAAAACCACCGACATGTTGCCAAGAATAAGATTTAAGTATTCAAAATCACTTACGTCGAAATTAACAGTCAACAGTAATAAAAGAAGAAATCTTTTAAGAACCTACTGTATAGCACAGGGAACTCTACTCGATACTTCGTAGGGACTTCGCTGGTGGTCCGGTGGGCAAGACTGCACGCTCCCAATGCAGGGGGCCTGTGTTCGATCTCTGGCTGGGGAACTAGATCCTGAATGCACGCCACAACTACAAGTCCACATGCCGCAACTAAAGAGGCCACGTGCTGCAATGAAGACCCTCAGTGCCACACCTAGGACCCAGCGCAGCCAAGATAAATAACTGTTGGAAAAACAACAACAACAACTTTGTAATGACCTACATGGGAATAGAATCTAAAAAAGAGTGGACATCTGTATATGTATAGCTGATTCATTTTGCTGTATAGCAGAAACTAACACAACACTGTACATCAACTATACTCCAATAAAAATTAATTTTAAAAAAAGAATGTTTAAAATTTTTGATGTTGGATTCATCCTTGGCCAAGAGATAGATTCCTAAGTGTACATGCATGTACACACACACGCGCACACGACTTAAGTCCAAATCACGATTGCCACAGTGACACGGCGCAGCCAATAGACTCCAGGTTTCACGGTCCCGCTCATCTCTGTTTGTAAACAAGGCACGAGGCCCAGGTCTTACCTTTTCACCACCAGCTTCAGGGTCTTATGCGACCCCTTCACCAGGCAAATCGCTTCCTGTCTAAACCCCGACAGACTGATGTCGTTGATGCCAACGATCTCATCTCCGGCCAACAACTTGTCCACTGCCGCCGCTTTGCTTCCTTCTTCGATCTGCAACACAGAAGTGTACCCTGTGAGCCTCTTGAACAAGCAAACAAGTCCCCAGGACTTGGCCAGGAAGACAACATGCCCGTGACACATGCCACCCACAGGTTTTCTCAGACTGGCTTCAGGACAACCCAGGGGTGAAGGGATCCACCTGGGCCCTGATTCCCAGCGGGAGACCAGGGACGCATCCCTCACCCGGTCTGCCTCCGCAAGGTGTACCATTCACGGAGGGGCGGGAAAGCGCACGAGCTCTCAGAAACACACCAGAAACAGCAGAGCCAGAAATACCGATTCACTTTCTGGATCTCCTTCCTCCAAAAAATCATGATAGATTTTTTTTTAAATTATTATTTACTAGTTATTTCTCATAGATTAATCCCGCACCTAGTTATTTCCGTAACAGCTGTATTTAGATATAATTCAGACAGCACACAACTCACCCATATAAAGATAAATGAGTGGCTTCTTAGTATATTCAGAGTTGTCCAGCCACCACCACCACCCATTTTAGAACGGTTTCCTAACCCCAGAAGAAACCTCGTCCGTGCCTGTCAGCGGTCACTTCCCGATGCTTCCAGCCCCTGGCAACCATGCGTCTGCTCTCTGCGTCTAGGGTTTGCCTATCCTGGATATTTCATATAAACAAAATCCTACAATAGGGGGCCTTCTGTGTCTGGCTTCCTTCACTCAGGTTTTCAAGGTACACCATGTCGTAGCCTGCATCACAGCTTCATTCGTTTTCATGGCTGAAGGAAGCTCCACTGTATGGACCGACCACATCTTATTTATCTGTTCATCAGTGACGGGTATTGAAGCTGCTTTTCCTTTTTGGCTACTAATGCTGCTGTGAGCACTGGTGTACAAGCTCGTGCTTGCGCGTGCGTCTTCACTTCCCTTGGGTGTACGCCTAGGAGTGGAACGGCAGGGTCGCACGGTAGCTACGGCGAACCTTGTGAGGACCTGCCAGACTGCCTTCTGAAGCAGCTGCACCGTTTTACATTCTGCATCCGAGGGCCCCAGTTTCTCCACATCCTTGCTGACGCTTAGCATCTGATTCCTTTCATTACAGTCCTAGATGACTACACCACGCTGGGTACGTAAAATACTCCCTACTCAGTGTTAAACACGCGTGTATGAATGTGTGTTGACTGACTCCTTAAAAGCGTTTTATGATTTTTATCCTGAGGAATCTTAATCTTTAAATCCTCACCCTCGTCTTCCCTATACAGTAGTAATCCAACTCAGCATCAAATAATCCATCGATTAACCAACCTGCTTCTGTACTAGCGCTTGGCAAACCGTGGCCCATGCGTCAAATCCAGCCAGCTGCTTTTTTTTTTTTTTTTTGTAAATAAAATTTTACTGGAATACAACCAGAGCTATTTGTTTATACACCGCTACAGGAGAGAACAACAGAGTCTGACCCACAAAGCCAAAAATATTTACTACTTGGCTTGTTGTTAAAAAAAAGTTGCCAACCCCCGTTTCACACCGAAAAGCCATTATTTTTACGAACTGCTAGGAAAACTAGTGAAAAAGATGAATGCTTCTACGCACAGAGGTGTACGGGTTAGGAAGTTCGCTGCTCTGTTTGCCAGGACTAACCTAAAGGTCCGTTCCGAACCTCACAAAGCACTAAAGCCGTGAACGTTTCTCCTCCGGTAGTTACAGAGCTGGAAACGAGGCAACTTACAGGCGCAGCTCTGAAACCACGTGGTACTTTCCTAACGTCTCCGCCCGATCCCAAGGACAGCTGAACTTTTCCTAGGTTAATAAAGCAATTATTCATTGCAAGTCCACGGCATAAACAAAATGAGCACTCCTAACTAAACTATGAAGCGAACCATTCAGTTAACAACCGGTTTCAAAGTCTAGACAACTTTTATCCCAACATGATAACAGATCGTAAGTAAGTTTCCACCCCCCCAAGATTACACACTCAGCCACACGTGGCCAAGGTGAAGGTTACGTGGTGGGGAGCTTCCGTTTTGGCACGCCCTGGGTGGGAGGCCAAAGGGCCGTCAGGCGGAGGGTCGGTGGGCGGCTGCCTGAGGGGAGGGGAGGGTACCCGGGGAGAGGTGGCCTGCTCACGGGGTGACCAGCAGCGGAAGGAATTTAAAAACTGAAAGGACGGGGATGGAGGCCTCCTACACAGAAAACAGACCCACCAAGGGCTGAGGACAGAACCCTGGGGCCCCAACACGGAGAAACCTGGAAGAAGATGGGTGGGTGAAGGTGCAGGAAGTGAACGAAGAGGGGGTGAGAGTCACAAAAGCCCAAAGAAGCAAACACGCGCAGAGCTGGCGAGAAGCGAGGGTAGCGCGTGTACGTGCGTCCCTCTCCTTGCGATGATGCCTCTCTGAATTTCAGCTTCACAAGAAAACTCTTCAGGCAAGACAACTATGACCAAGGAACTTGCAAGGGCCTTAGGACGGCTTTCCAAGGCAGGACGTCCTGGAGGCAACCCGTGTGACTCAGCCATGACCCGGTGGGTTTTTCAGTCTCGTTCCCACAAACCCCTGGATGCACAAGTTCTGCGAGACTGTCTCCAAGCGCTGGCATCGAAGTCTGATGACATCGTGTTGCTTCCCCTCATCCGCAAAGACTTCCCAAGCTCCTCCTGCACCAGTGAAGACAGCACTCCGAAGTGTCCACCCGCACCGTCCCAACCACACTCTACCTACATTCCCAGCAAAGACGGCGCTGGGCTTGGGCGACACAGAAGCTGGGGAATTCTCCCCGCCTGGCTTCCTCGCCAAGACAAACTGTCTGTTTGACGTTTATTGTGCTCATGGAGAAAACAGTTGTAAAAGAAGACGTTTTGAAAACCTGCAGTCTGTACTCTTGACCCCCTCAAACTTCTCCCATTAGGAAGAATTAATTAGGCTTGAACTTGGTAGAGAGCAAACCTGAAGTTGGCTCTAGTCTCACAGGATACTTACTGACTCTGCCTGCCAGCACTGTACAGTATATCACACATTACAGACACTCAGGATCGTTCTGTCACCGTCCCCTGCCTTATAGTCAAGTGAGCGCTTGGCATTGCCACTAGCAGAGGGAACTGCCTGACATCTACAGCACTCGGGAGCCACAAACAGGGCAGTCCTGTCCCAGAGCCACAAACAGGGCAGTCCTGTCCCAGAGCCACCAGGCGAAGTTCTCAGCTGTAGCTCAGAAGAAAAGTCCCTTTACAAAAAGACAGGCACACGAGAACAAATGACTCCACACCCATGATGCCTGTCCGTGTGTCACGGGCAGAATCAACGTCCCACGTTCACGTGCCAGGTCAAATATTCTGGTCTGAGTGTTCACTGGCATTGGAAAACTCCAGTGTAGGGCCTCAATTAAGACTCAAGTGTCCCCAAATGTGCAGATTTCCTTGCTGTTCTTATGGAAACACTTTTTCTGGAAACAGCAGCAGGGGGAAAAAACAGTCAATGGAAGTCTCGTTGGAACAAGGTTTTTGTATTTCATCCAACGGATGTTAGTTACAGCTGATCAAGGATGACATCCACGGAGGCCGGAGAACCTTGATTCTCCTGGGAGCCGGGACTCCCGTGGGAAGGAACCACATCAGGGCAGCAGGGGCGCGAGGGGCCGGGCTCGCTTGGCCTCAGGGCTGGAGATGAAAGACTTCACGAAGAGAGAGGCCCACGAAGGGCAACTTGAAAGGGGTGGCATGGATGGGGGCGGACATTCCACAGGGGGGTCTGCATGTGAAGATGGGGCAGAGGCAGGAAGCCGGGCCGGTCTGAGGAATGTCAGCCTGGCCCAGCGCAGAGCTCTGGCTGGGGAGCGTTTGAAGATAAGGGCAGAAAGAGGAAGATGAGGAACTTGACCTTGGGTCGGAATCTGGCATGATATCCTGGAGGCAGTGGGGGCCCCCGAAGGCCAGCACGGAAGCAGGGGAGCGACCTTCTTATTCCAGCAAATGCATCTGGTAGCTTCATCCTGGAGGCTGACGTGAAAAGAATTTCTTCTGCCCGAGAACAGAAGGTGGCGGGTTCTGTCTTTGTACTGGACAGAAACAAGGGCTCAAACCAACACAGGGCAGAGAACACTAATGTAAGCAAGTGCTCCAGACACTGGGAAGGAAGGTCTAAGGACAGAAGCGATGCTGGACGTCAAGGGCCACAGGAAAAGGGTCGGCCGGGGGAGCTCAGACGTTGAGCGGGACTGATGTGGAAAATCGCGACACCCAGAGATCAAAACCAAAGGAGGAAGAATGTGTTAAGTCCAGTATCATATTTCAAAGGCCATGAATCACACCCGTGATTAATCAGTTATGACTATCTCAAAGAAAGCTTTGCTGTCTGGAGAACAAGCCATGAGAAAGCACTGCCTTTTGTGAGCCAGGACAATCACTGACGTCACCTCCTTGGTCTGCTTCGTTTAACTATTTTAACTCATTCTCCTTGAGCTCCCTTGTTTCAGAAAAGAGAGCTGACTCATCCAGGAAAAGTATCAAATTGTGAACTAATCGGAGAGTGCATCTCTGGTAACCGAGAAGCCCATCGAAAACCAAAAACCTCTCAAGTGTTAAGACGTGAACATACCATCAGTCACTGGTCCCTGTCTCCCTTCTTGTACATCCTGAGGAGTGTTTTTATCGACTATTTGGGGAATTCAAGCTTCGCCGTAGCTCTGGAAACATGCTTAAGAAGGAAATCCCACCTCACCCCATTTCTGGAGTATAAACGCTTTCTGAAGAGGTGAAATTGTTCGTTGGTTATATTTTGGTCCAACCAGGGAAGGGTGGGATAATGAATTCAGCTTAACATTCCATGGGGGGTAGTTTTTCTTAACCTGACAACACAAAACATACTCAATGGCAATTTGGAGACGCAGTCACGCACGTAATAGGTCTTGAACAGGATACCCGGAGAAAAACATGGTCCAAAAGGATATGTGCACTGCAGTGTTCACTGCAGCACTGTTTACAATAGCCAAGACACGGAAGCAACCTAAACGTCCATCAACAGAGGAAAGGATAAAGAAGATGTGGTGTGTGTGTGTGTACACACACACACACACACACACACACACAATGGAATATTACTCAGCCATTAAAAAGAATGAAATAATGCCATTTGCAGCAACACGGATGGACCTACAGATTGTCATACTGAGTGACACAAGTCAGACAGACAGAGAAATATCGTATGATATCGCTTATATGTGGAAAATTTAAAAAATGCTACAAAAGGCAGAAACAGACTCATAGACTTAGAGAACGAACTTATGGTTACCAAGGGGGGTGGGGGGAGAGATAGTTAGGGAGTTTGGGACTGACAGATACACGCTGCTATATTTAAAATGGATAACCGACAAGGACCTACTGTGTAGCACAGGGAACTCTGCTCAATATCCTGTAACACCTAACTGAGAAAAGAATTTAGAAAAGAATAGATACATGTGTACCGTATAACTGAATCATTCTGTTGTACATCTGAAACGAATGCAACATTGTTAATCAACTATACTCCAATATAAAATAAGAAGTTAGGGCTTCCCTGGTGGCACAGTGGTTGAGAGTCCGCCTGCAGATGCAGGGGATGCGGGTTCGTGCCCCGGTCCGGGAAGATCCCACGTGCCGCGGAGCGGCTGGGCCCGTGAGCCATGGCCACCGAGCCTGCGCGTCCGGAGCCTGTGCTCCGCGATGGGAGAGGCCACAGCGGTGAGAGGCCCGCGGACCGCAAAAACAAACAAACAAAACAAAAAAATAAGTTAAAAAAATAAAAATAAAATTACCTGTACTCCTATGTTTTTTTAGTATAATTACTTCCTAAAGAAAACCACTTCTTGATCTTGGCCCTTCCTGTCCCCGGTCACGACACTCCAGTTTCCCTAATAACACGCCATGAATGTGCCAAGAAAAACATGGAAATTTGAGCACGTGGTGCTTATGATATGAAACGGTGAAGTGGGACCTGTGACGTCACAGCCTATCAACATTTGAAGGGATTCATACTTGACATCCTCTTAAGGAAAAGTTGTTTCCACATTTTAAGCCAGAAAGTCAGTGGAACACCTGTTTAGAAAAGAATCAGAACTACGTGGTCTCTTAGTTCCTCAGTTCCTACATACATTAGGAAGGATGTACAAATTGAACCGTGTGTGTACCAATCCTCAAAACAACCAATAAAATATCAATTAGGGAAGAAAACTGCTTTCCTCATGGTTGACAAAAAAAGTACCAAAAAACAAGAAAAATGATAACTACCCCCACATGCAAAAAATCCTAAGAAACCGACACCCACCTCATACATTCGGATTCAGGTGAGCACGTCAGTATTCAGTCCCACACACAAGAACACGAGGGTCTGCTCTGAAGATTCTAACACACGCCTGCCACTCATGGCTAAAGCGAACGCTGGATCACATGCCACCCCA